ACTCTTCCAACCACTCCATCCCCCACAGTTATTACCTTTTGAACCACCAGCCCCTCCCTCCTAGATTGTAAGCTCCCAGGATCAGGGCCCTCCTATCCCTCTTGTATGGAACTGTATTGTTACTGTATTGTCTCCCACCATAATGTAAAGCGCTGAGCAAACTGTTGGCACTATATAAATCCTGTATAATAATAATAATGCAATATATATATATAAATATATTGAATATGGACAAAATTGTAGCATTTCAAATGTATGGCAATATATTTGGGAAGAATATTTTTAAAATATACTTTTCTTCCATGTGGGAGAAAAAGCATCAAAAACGTGCCGAAAGCTGTTTCGTAATCGCGTTTAGGCGTGTCAAGTGCTTAGGATTTAATTAATTTAATCGGCAAGAATTATAACTTATTCTGGCCATTGAAATTGACAAACGTTTTAAGCGCTAAAACCCCCCCCCCCCAGTATCAATGTGCGCTGAGACGTGTTTAGACGTATTCACATGCGCATCAAACGTTCCGGAACCTTTCTTGAGCATTGCGCATTCCTGTGATTTTGTTTGTGCAATTGCGACGCGTTTGCCACATGGAAAAATGCGCCGTGATTGCGGCAGAAATACCCTGCATTTTCAGGTGCTGCTGGAATGGACGGCACCTGAACACAGAATCGCGCGTTTCCAACTTTCATAGCGTGTTTTCAAATTGCGGGCAGAATTGTGGCGATTTCACCTGCTCAAGTGTGAATAAATCCTACATGCCTGTAATCGCCTACGTGTGCATAGACACATAGGTTATCATTGAGGGGCATTTTGAGGCAGAAAAAAAAAAAAAAAGTCCAAACGCTCCTGAAAGTAGCATTTTCATTGCTCAGGGAGGCTTTAATAGTGCAATGGGATTCAATGGACTTTCAGTTTTGTTGCACCTATTCTTGTGGCAACAATATCTCCTCATTAGGCCTCATGCACGCTGAACATCATAGAAACGCAAGTAGAGTTAGCAGTAGAATGCCGCAATAAAACGTTTTGTTCTGTTATTTTAGGATTTTTGCATTAGTGTTTTTAGCAAACCTGTAGTCCCACAAAAGCTTAAGGCTCAAAAACGTTTCATAAATGCCGGATAGCTGTGCTTTGCAGCGTTTTGTAGCATTTTTCAGAGTTAGAGCAATTTTACAGCTAAAAAGCTCCTCATGCCCAGCGTGCATGTGGCCCCAAGCTCATTGATTTATGGGTTTTTTTTTTTTGTTTGTTTCTTTGTTTACAAAAAAAAATGAACAAAAATAAAGGAATAGAAAAAAATATATAAAGTGGCAGGACACAGATATACACAAAAAAAAATAAAACAAAATGCAATAATGAATTTTAATGAAATAAACTAAATAACCAAAAAAAAACAAACAAAAGAAACAAACATCCTGTAAATAAAATAAACAGATTTTTAATGTAAATTTTGTCTAAGCCGAGTAATGACATTTTACCAGAGAGGATACCCTCATATCCCGATATACATTACATACCAAGAGGAAACCTTCCACCCAAATATAGATATCCCAGAAGATACCCTGATATTAATACCCCAGAGAATATCCTCATCTCCCAATATACATATCCCAGAGGAAACCTTCAATCCAAGTATAGATACCCCAGAGGATACCCTCATACCCTAATATTAATACCCCAGAGAATACCCTCATATCCCAATATACATACCCCAGAGGAAACCTTCCACCCAAATATAGATACCCCAGAGGATACCCTCATACCCTGATATTATTACCCCAGAGGAAACCTTCCATCCACGTATAGATACCCCAGAGGTTACCCTCATACCCTGATATTAAACACCCAGAGAAATACCCTCATATCCCAATATACATACCCAGAGGAAACCTTCATTCCAAGTATAGATACCCCAGTGGATACCCTCATACCCTGATATTAATACCCCAGAGAATACCCTCATATCCCAATATACATACCCCAGAGGAAACCTTCCATCCACGTATAGATACCCCAGAGGATACCCTGATATTAATACCCCAGAGAATACACTCATATCCCAATATACATACCCCAGAGGAACCCTTCCATCCAAGTATAGATACCCCAGAGGATACTCTCATACCCTGATATTAATACCTCAGAGCATACCCTGATATTAATACCCCAGAGGATACCCTCATATTCTAATATACATACCCCAGTGGAAATTCCAATCAAATATAGATACCCCAGAGGATACCATCATTCCCTGATATTAATACCCCAGAGAATACCCTCATATCCCAATATACATATCCCAGAGGAAACCTTCCATCCATGTATAGATACCCCAGAGGATACCCTCATACCCTGATATTAACACCCCAGAGGATACCCTCATACCCTGATATTAATACCCCAGAGGATACCCTCATATTCCAATATACATACCCCAGAGGAAATTCCACCCAAATATAGATATCCCAGAGGATACCCTCATTCCCTGATGTTAATACCCCAGAGGATACCCTCATTCCCTGATGTTAATACCCCAGAGGATACCCTCATCTCCCAATATACATACCCCAGAGGAACCCTTCCATCCAAGTATAGATACCCCAGAGGATACTCTCATACCCTGATATTAATACCTCAGAGCATACCCTGATATTAATACCCCAGAGGATACCCTCATATTCTAATATACATACCCCAGTGGAAATTCCAATCAAATATAGATACCCCAGAGGATACCATCATTCCCTGATATTAATACCCCAGAGAATACCCTCATATCCCAATATACATATCCCAGAGGAAACCTTCCATCCATGTATAGATACCCCAGAGGATACCCTCATACCCTGATATTAACACCCCAGAGGATACCCTCATACCCTGATATTAACACCCCAGAGGATACCCTCATACCCTGATATTAACACCCCAGAGGATACCCTCATACCCTGATATTAACACCCCAGAGGATACCCTCATACCCTGATATTAATACCCCAGAGGATACCCTCATACCCTGATATTAATACCCCAGAGGATACCCTCATACCCTGATATTAATACCCCAGAGGATACCCTCATACCCTGATATTAATACCCCAGAGGATACCCTCATATTCCAATATACATACCCCAGAGGAAATTCCACCCAAATATAGATATCCCAGAGGATACCCTCATTCCCTGATGTTAATACCCCAGAGGATACCCTCATCTCCCAATATACATATGCCAGAGAATATGTGTCCAACCCCAAGGTAGCTATGAATGCAGCCCAACACAAAATCTTAAACTTAATTTAAAATGTTAATTATTATTATCATTTTTTTTTAATTCTTCGAAAAAAGCATTTACACTTCGCAAACACATGTGGCTGAAAAACAATTTGACATTGTCTCTTTACTGGACTTTTACAAGTTTTATCTTCCAAAAGAAAAATCTCCCACACTTGACAATCACACCTTATGCACGTCATCAGCACCTATATTTGTGAGGCGATATTGTGAAGGATGAAGCACACAAAGGGCAAAATTAGAACCAAAATATCTGAGGAGCACCTTGATAATACATTGAGCATTGCTACTACATCCACCAAACCAGACATTGATACGTTAGTTTATTAAAAACCAGGGAGGATTAAAATCGATGATTTTTAAAAAAAATTAAAGTGGAAGGGACTGTCGGTGAGTCAACAACGGGTCAGAGGAGGAGCCGCTGAGGGACAGAGATGACAGGTGCTCTTTAAAAATTATGATTTAAATCGAGCCTTTTCACTAGTGATATAAATCATGATTTAAAATCAAATCCACCCTGTCAAATATTGCACTAGTTTTATGTTGCTCTTTTTTTACTTTTGTAATAAAATATATTATAAAAAATGACTTTTTTTTTTTTTTTTACTCAGCTAGGTACATCATTTATATATCAGCGATCACTAACTTGTGATCTGCCCGACTTTTTCTGCTCATCGGCTGTCCTTATTGTTAGTGCACTTTATGAGTGGCCCAAGACAATTCTCTCTTCTTCCAATGTGGCCCAAGAAGGTCAAAAGGTTTAACACCCCGTCCCAGAAGATACCCTCTATCCAAATATACATACCCCATATATCCCCATATACAAAGCCCCAAGGATATCCTTCGTCCCAATATACAAAGCCCAGGGGATACCCCATATCCCGATATACAAAGCCCAGGGGATACCCCATATCCCGATATACAAAGCCCAGGGGATACCCCATATCCCGATATACAAAGCCCAGGGGATACCCCATATCCCGATGTACAAATCCCAGGGGATACCCCATATCCCGATGTACAAATCCCAGGGGATACCCCATATCCCGATGTACAAATCCCGGGGGATACCCCATATCCCGATGTACAAATCCCGGGGGATACCCCATATCCCGATATACAAATCCCAGGGGATACCCCATATCCCGATATACAAAGCCCAGGGGATACCCCATATCCCGATATACAAAGCCCAGAGGATACCCCATACCCCCCCCCCCCCCCCCAAACACATCCCCCCTTCAAAACACACATACTCCAAAAAGACATCCCCCCTTCAAAAACACACATACTCCAAAGAGACACCCCCCCTTCAAAACACACATACTCCAAAAGACACCCCCCCTACAAATACACCAATTACCCCCCTTCCCACCATAATATTCATACCCCAGAAGACACCCCTCGTTACATATACCCCATATCCTAATCCTAATACATACACCCCAAGGGATAGTCTTCCTCCCAATATATAACCTCAGAGGGTATCCTCCATCCAAAAATATATACCTAAGAGGAAGCCACCTCCCCCACCATAAATGTACCCCTAGAACCCCCCTGCTCCCCAGATACACCGATTACCCCCCACATTGATCACACCACCCTAGATACCCCCTGATTACCCCCCTTCCCACCCCCCACATTGATCACACCCACCTAGATACCCCCCATCACACACACCTTGGGGATGAGACATCCCCCCCAGATCTCACCTGTCCTGCAGCGCCTCCTCCAAATGGTGTCGGTGGAGAGGATCTGGCGGAATTTGCGGCACACCCAGTGCCAGGAGGGGCAGCTGTGTCCCGGGCAGGCAGGAGAAGATCTCCACTAGGATCTCCGGCGGCAGCTGCAGCAAGGAGCGGGGGGCCTCCTCCACCCGGACCTCCTCCTCTTCCTCCTCCTCCACCGGGGCCCTCCGCCGGCATCCCCCGGCCTGACCCACCCCGCACAGCCGGGCGCACACCGCCATCCCTGACCGGAGCCTGCCTGACAGCGGGGCCCCGCCCCCTCCCTGCACACACCCGGGATCCGCCCACAGCAGCTCCGCCCATCTCTGCATCCTTGCGGATCCAGTTTGACAGCGGGACGCACCCACCGCCCCGCCCGCTCAGTGCGCTCTCTCTGACAGCGGGACACGCCCACCTCCCCCTCCACCATCCACATCGGAGTATGCTCAGGTTTCCCCGCCCCTTAGCTACACTGGAGCTTTTCCTCGACACGCCCACCTCCCGTCACTGCCCTTTACTACAAACACAGTCTGCTTCCAGGTCAGCCTTTTACCCCGCCCAACAACAGTACCGCCCCCTCAGTCTAGCAGCGGCTGCCCCGCCCACTCACCAGTCTCCATCTCTTGATGAAGCTTTCAGGCTCCGCCCCTGATGGAACGCTGCGATATAAATAATAACAAGAAAAGATACAATGTAACCACAGAGACATCCGGAGATACCCGGAGGAAGAGAGACATCCGGAGATACCCAGAGGAAGAGAGACATCCCGGAGACCGAACAAAACACTTGCCCCGTGTGAGGATCGAACTCACGACCTTCAGATTATGAGACTGACGCGCTACCTACTGCGCTAACGAGGCGCTGGATGTCTTCTCTACTTTATTGACTTTGTACTGGCCCTAGAGTTTATTATCACCTTGAAAATCTCAGTATGGGATGGGGGGATTGGGGTTTGATTCTGATAATCTGCCCCTCCCGTGTTTTTTTGCACTTCCCGACACGTTTTTTTTATTGCGTTTTTACCGCGTTTTGTTTATTGCTAAAGTGGAATTTTTGTTGTTGCTGGGCAGAATAAAAATGCAAAACGCAGCAAAAACGTGGCAAAAACCCACTGCCGTGCATTTCAGCAACTTTTCCATTGAACTCTTGTCACAAAAACGCTGCTTTTTGCTTTTAGGGCCGGTTGACGCCATAGAAACGCAGTCCAGATGCGTTCCAGATGCATTTCCGCATGCGTGTTTTTGACGCGTTCCAGTACGTTTTTAATGCTTTCCAGTTCATTATTTCCCCTCTCTTTTTCTTCAATTTAAATAGGAACATGTGCGTTCCAGTGCGTTTTTGGTGATTCTATAGTGTTCCGATGTGTCTTTTATGTGTTTTACCGCGTTCCAGTGCAGTTCCGTGCAGAAAAAAATGCAGCATGTTCTACTTTTTTTCTGCATTCAGAACGCACTGGAACTGCAAGCGCTGATGTGAACTATGACATTGACAACCATATCACCTACTTTCTGTGCGTTTTGGATGCAGAAAAAAAGCAACTGAAATGCGTGTAGTGTGGACTGGCCCTCAGGGTCGATTTACACCATAGAAACGCCTTTGATGCATTTTTGACACGTTCCAGTGCGTTTTTGATGTTTTCCAGTTCATTTTTTTCCCCTCTCTTTCTCTTCAATTTAAAAAATGCAGCCTGTTCCATTTTTTTTTTCTGCATTCGGAATGCACTGGAACTGCAAGCACTGATGTGAACTATGACACTGACAACCATTTCACCTTCTTTCTGTGCGTTTTGGATGCAGAAAAAAAGCAACTGAAACGCATGTAGTGTGAACTGGCCCTCAAAAAAGCCCCTGACCCTTTCCAAAAATGCAGCAGCTCAAACAAAGCATAGGTGTGAACATGTTCCATAGGAAACCATGCTGAGTGGACTGTAGTGCGTTTCTGCAAAAAGCACTAAAAGACACATTGGTGTGAATGGAGCCTTAGGCCTTGTTCACACCAGGTGCAGTGCAGAGATGCATGCAAAATTATGTATTTTCACGCAACACATTAACACGCTGATGTGCGCAGGCGCTGATAAATTCTTTAATGGCAGCCCCATGCATCTGACAAACACCATGCGTTTGCACCGGCCAAATTTTTTAACCACTTGCCGTCCACCTGCTGTTTATAAACGACAGGACGGTGGCATTCCAGGGGCGGGTTGCCGTTCATTAACGCCACCCGCATTTTCTAGCTCCCAGGGAGCGCGCAGCACCGCGATCCGGTGCCCACTGTGTCCGGACGATTGTTGGATGGGACCTCTGTGCAAGGTCCCGATCATGTGATCACTCGTTGGCCAATCAGTGATCACATGCAGAGTAGTAAGCAAGATGTCACTTCTGACATCATTGCTTACTACGTGTGAAATCTGTGAATGATCACAGAGATCGCTTGGTACAAGGCTATTCACAACAGCTTTGTACCATGTGACAAGCTGTGACCAATCACAGTTCACACAGTATTTCTCAATGGCTGCAAGAATGCAGCCAGAGAAAAGGAGAAATGATTGCTTTTACAGCCTTTATGGGTGTAAAAGCAATCAGTGTAAAAAAAAAAAAAAAAATCTTCATCACCCCACAAATGTAGTACGGTGTCACTGTACTGCTAAGGTGACGGTATGTTAAAAAAAAAAAAATAATAATAATAATATAAAAACATAAAAAAATGTAAAAAAAAAATGTTTAAAAATTATAATTTTTGGTTATAAACTAATTTGGGTTTTTTTGTTTACTAAAAAGATAACGGAATAAACAAGATTTATGATGAAGTACTATTTATTTGCAAAATTTTATAAGAAAAACACTTTTTTTCAAAATTTTTTGGACTTTTTCATTTACATAGAAAAAAAATAAAAATCCCAGCAGTGAATAAATATCACCAAAATAAAGCTTTATCTGTCTAAAAAAAATGCTAAAAAATTCATATGGGTACAGTGTTGCATGACCGCGCAATTGTCATTCAAAGTGTGATAGCGCTGAAAGCTGAAAATTGGCCTGGGCAGGAAGGGGGTAAAAGTGTCCGGACAGGAAGTGGTTAAATGACCATGTTATAGAATCTTGTCACACCAAAGTGCATTGTACTGCGGTAACTTGCGTTTTGGTGTGATATAGAAAAAAAAAATTGCACCTGCACTTTTCTGCATATTTCACGCACACAGGGCAGCCACGCGGGAATGCACAAAAGAACGCTTGCGCTTGGATGCACCTTGTGATGTGAATGAGCCCTAGGAGGTATCAACTCATATATCTTTCAGGTGCTGTGCTGCTAAAAAGTGATCAGCAGTTGGATCGCCATACAAAGGCAATTAATAAGCAACATATCACCTCCCTCACCACTTGTTTTAGCCCAGTAAATGGGACACCACTGTGCCACAACCAGGGGTGGATTGACAACTCACGGGGGCCCCCAGATCTACATTATAATCTGCATCCCACAGCCGGGTGTTGGGCTTCAGGTATTACCATATTAAGGATTGGGGGCTTCCTGTGTATGGCTGCAAACAGGATACAGAGATTGTTCTCATGAAATGTGTCTGATAACTTTCCAGTGTAAAGGATCAGTCCACCCAAAAGTGGAATTACAACCATTGTTGGAGCCTGGGGAAATGTGTCAGCCCCAGGGGCGGACTGACAATTCATGGGGCCCCTGCACAGCAGTCAATTGAACATGACTTTCTATGGGACAGGTTCACATCTCCGTGTTTTTACCCGTGTGCGTTTTTTGGAAAGGGTCGGGGACTTTTTTGAACACAAAACGTTGCGTTTTTGGTTCTATAGACTTCAATGGAGACGCTGCAGAAAAGCACGTATGGCGTTTTTGCCATGTTTTTGCTGCGTTTTTGCCATGTTTTTGCTGCGTTTTTGCGTTTGAAATCTGCTGAGCAACAATACAAATTTTCACCCAGTGCATTTTTTGGAAAGGGTCAAGAACAGGAGCGGACTGACAACTCATGGGGCCCCCGGGCAATAAGGGATCATGGGCCCCTGTGTCCTTGCCCAAACTCAAAAAAGCCTATGAAAAAGGTACCAGGGGCATCTCATGGGGCCCCCTACTGACCCCCGGGCTCTCGGGCAGTGCCGAGTTTCCAAATGGTCAGTCCGCCCCTGGCCACAACTGAGTGCCCTGCATGTGACTGCTGGGCGGTTGTGGCCTGGCTCTATTCGCTTCGCTGGAATGGGTTGTGCTCATCCGTAGCACTGCCAGCCAAACATACAGGAACAATTTTTGCTGTGAAGCGAAGCATTGTGGCAGTGACACATGTACACCCCATCTGCTGACACTGCAGCTTAAGTGGAGCATTGGGCAGTAGAAACATGGCTCAACCACGTGTTTTTACTGTGCCCCTATGAAGCAGACATTGTTAATAAGATAGAAATTCATGGCTTCATAAAGGTGGCCACATTTCAATCAACCAAATTCAGATCTACCTGAGTGACTAGAAATATTGAATGGAATGGATTGTACAGACCAGTCCTCCCCAATCAACAGTACTGTTCAATAGAAAGCTCTCCATAGACGTTACAAACAGGGGCGGACTGACCATAAGGGTACTCAGGCACTGCCCGAGGGCCCGGGGTCAGTAGGGGGCCCCATGAGATGCCCCTGATACCTTTCATAGGCTTTTTTGGTGTGTGGTTTGAGTGTGGGCGAGGACACAGGGGCCCCATGATCCCCTACTGCCCGTGGGCCCCATGAGTTGTCAGTCCGCCCCTGGTTACAACTGAACCATACTGTCTGTGTACAATCAACTTCAGAGTTACCCAAACAATGAAATATGAGGAGATATTTACTGTAAACCAGGGGTGGACTGACAACTCATGGGGCCCCCGGGCAATAGGGGATCATGGGGCCCCTGTGTCTTTGCTCAAATTTAAAAAAGCCTATGAAAAAGGTATCAGGGGCATCTCATGGGGCCCCCTACTGACCCCGGGCCCTCGGGCGGTGCCTGAGTTTCCAAATGGTCAGTCCGCCCCTGCTGTAAACCACTGGTTTCCAAACTACGGCCCTTGCCTTTATCCGGCTCTTGGGATACTATTTCTCCCACTGACACCAACAATGGGGCACTATTATTCCCACTGACACCAATGATGGGACATTGTTCCTTCTACTGACACCAATGGTGGGGATACTATTCCTGCCACTGATGCCAATGATGAGCCACTATCCCTCCCACTGACACCAACGATAAAACATTATTGTTCCTACTGACACCAATGGGGCA